GTGTGAAGATGAGTGGATATTTGTTAATCAGAACCGATGCATATAGTATAAGCTATGTTTGAAGTAATAAACAGTTCCGCTTGCACCTCAGGTTCTTGGAGTAGGTAAGTTGATGGCGTGTGCGCAAAACTTTGCGTTTTTCCATGTTGAGCTGGAGCGTGTTTTGTAAGACCATGTGTATTCTCTGTCGAGATTTCCCTTCAGTACTGCGTGATCGTCTGCTGTCCTGGTGTCATGCCAGAATTTACACTCTAAATAGTAAGAAGTGCCATCGGGGCACACTGGCAAGGTCTTTGACGAAGGCTAGAAAGAAATGTGTACCCAGTACCGATCCTTTGGACACACCAGACGGAAGTTCAATAGGATCGGAAATAGAGCTGTCTACTCCCACATTCAGGTGACATTGAATTAGGACATTGCTTATCCAACCCATTACGGGGTTGACGATTCAATAGTTTTAAATCGTGTGAAAGAGAGTGCGGTGGTCCAGGCGGTCGAACGCTTTACAGAAGTCCAAATAAACGACATCGACTGCTACTCTGGCACCTGGTGACTCCGTCCAGCTTTCTCGGACTATCTGCAAGTTTGTAGTGCGGGACCGATTTCGGCGGAAACCATGGTGCTGTGAAACTATGATGTTGTTGCTCTCAAGGTGTCCCATGAGAGCTTCTGCGATAATACCCTCAATTAATGTGGATATCAACTGGAAGAGAATGATGAAACCGTAGTGGGAGGGCTCCGCAGGACCCACTTGTAAATAAGAGTGACTGTTCTATGTTTCCACATTGTTGGAATCTGCATTTCATCAATACATCGTTAAAAGAACCGAGCAATTAGTTCGGAAATATTCCTGGCGTTTGTCTATATGATGTCTTTGGTTTTATGTCTTCCACACCAGGAGATCTGTGCACGCACATGAACAATAGTCTTTTCATCACCTTAGCTGTCGAGAACGATACGTGGCTTAAACTTGGGGATGGGGAGGAGCGGAGTCGAAAGCGAGTTAAATGATGTACCACCCTGGAAAGTGTGGATGGAGTGCAGACGAACAGCGTTGGCCGCTTCTTGTGTAGTTATCGCTTACCTATTAGCTGCACATCAAGGTTGATTCCCGGAACAGCGGTAATACGTTGTGATATCCGAATGGAAATGCATGGGCATAGGTAGTATTCTAGACACTGATGGATTGGTCAAGATATGCTAGCCGTCCGAACGAATGACCAAGGGGAAATAAATAGTAACACATGACAGACTGTCTGGTGGTTCTGCCTCCCTGTTGATTCTCGCTCACCTCGGACAACAGAAGAGTATAACGGGTTCTGGTTTTACCTTATGACACGGATAGGCTGCAGTGGACATAATCGCACCATCTCCTGCTAACTTGGAAACTTGCTTACGCCATCTCCGTCATTTTTTTGAATGGCATCCTTATTCTATATGCCGCATGTAAGTCGCGCTTGGGTACAGTTGCATTCTAGAATGAGTAACTACTGACTTGGTGCAATGTGGTATCTTGATTGCATCTGCCTAGAACGGTTATATTTCGCGATGACTTCACATGTGTGGCGCATTACGATATTGTTCTCATCATGACCTATGCTATCCTATACTTGCTACCTTCTCAAGCGGAGTCTAGTATGGTCAAATACCGAGACAGTGAGCTACGGCATCTTCTTCTTCATAGTATTATTCGGTCGCGATTCACACCAGTGACTGTCCCCATGGACGTCACAGTGACAGGCTAATCCGGATACGACGCCGCCAAATCATTAGCTGCACATAGAACTGAGCTTCCCTGCTACACCTATCGGAGCATGTTGATATGCCTGTACAGTAGTTTAGGGTTCTTAGCTAAGTCTTGATGGTGCTGGAATTTGTTTTCTCGGACTAACTTTACCTGGGGCCGGCAGACACGGGAAGGCTTTATGAGCGCGTCAGGCCGAATCCCTTATGACCATGCACCCTCGAATCCGAGTTTGTAGAAAAGACTTCGCTTGTTTTAGGTGAAAGCCTTTAGATTCCGAAGCATTTTCCACTATCTCCGTGAACCGGGTGACAAATTCCTTTCAGTGCACATTGGCTGGCTGCTCAGCATGAAGGACCTACTGATTTCTTGAAGGAGGTGGGACAGTATCTCGTAATGGGTGACATGTAGGTTGCTTAGTTGTTTACACAGGTGTATTCCGTGTATAGTGAAATTACCGAGTTGAGTGCGCCAGCGGCAACTAAAAACATTGATTAACTGATGACATCTAGCAAGAAGCGTACTTTTCGTAGTCAGACGACAATGAGCTTACCTTTTTAACTTAAAGACATAAGCTACTACAAAAACAAACGTAATCACCGACAGACTTACCACGACAGTGGCCTAACCGAAGATGTGATGATGGAGAAATTCGGATTATACAATGCGGTCTAGTCAGGAATCTACTCTTCATATACCGGGTACTAGATAAAATATTGTATCTACGCATTGGGTCGGTGCGATAAGTCACCAGGTAGCGGCGTATACCAGCGTTCACGATAACCTAAAGCTAGGAATACAGCAATCCCATTACCAGACTTTTGCATCGTACAAGATAGGGCCAACGTTGCCTTCCTAGTCTCAGTGGCATCTGACACATGGATTTTTATAGTAATGGATCAAGATTTGGCCCTTTGGAGTTACTGTGCCTTGCCACAATCGGAGACATTGGTTTCTGTAATCAAATATAATTTTGATGAAAGCTTTACCATATGGAGGGTTTTAGAGCTACTTTCTCCTAACAGCGCATTCCACGAGAGAACGGTTTCGTCCTGATTTGGATTCGTCAGGTAGAGATAGCTTGAACTGTGAGGGGAGACAAACATAGTGATTGACGGCTTTCATCTTAGAGTGACTAGACCAGAGCTTCACAGCAACACTTGCCACAGCTGTTAAGAGTTCATTACTTGATCTTGGAGTACCCTCCGTGTGTCTGGATTGCGTGTCGCAATCCAGACACACGGAGGGTACTCCAAGATCCAATAATGAGTTTTACCACGTATTTATTGACATAAGTGGCTTTTAAATATGTCTGATAAATGACCCAAAATTTAATGCTGCTGTTAGAGTACCTTACAAAAAATGTATACATAATCGTACAACGGCTACACTGAATGTGTTGTCGCAGTTAAGTGTAGTTGAAGGGATGCCGTTTCCATTTTTGATGACACCCTCAACAAATCTTGAGACGCAGCCTCTGTCCAAAACGCTTGACTAGTAACATTCCAAGCTCAGGTTATTTGCACCTCCTGTCAGGCGTCCCAGTTTATCTTCGAGTACATAAATGGAGCAGTCTGTAAAGCTTTGGAAATCGGTAATTGACTGTTTACGTTGCCATAGAAGCTTTATACTAGAAGCAGAGTTCCACTGTAGGGGTAGATGGAAACTGCCAAATTATGTTAAGAGTTTTTACCGTCTAAAGGACGCAACTGTCACCCTTTAGAGAGAAGAATTTCTTAAAACACTGAACTGCAGGTTGTTACGGTCTCTTTGCATTCAAATTTGTTGCGTTTATGCGCCACACTAATACAGCCGTATCGCACAACAATGCATGTTAAGCTGGTACCTTGATGAAACGTCGTGAACCGCAATCCTGTTCGTATTGACTCTTTATTAACCCAACGGAGTGTTCCTCAGCATACACATGTTTTCCAAATTAAATGTGGTCGGCCTTTTTTTCTATCATTGACTAATTTTCCTTTTTAAATATTCTCTACTCTGTTAAATCATCCTCAAAATGACAGCAGAAAGTGCTCCAAATTAATGCAGTTACATCATTTACCGATAGCTCTCAATCATTCACTCACTCATACTCTCTCACCAAACTGACCTCAAGATCGCTAATAGGTCGAAAGCCTGAGAGAGGCAAACCTCATGATGACAGCCCATGAACTCTCGACGATTGCTAATGCGTCATCAGTATTGCCAGCGTTTTTGTTTCTCGGTCTCGATTCGTTAACTTCCCAGAGACCGAACTAAATTCATATAAACAGGACAGCTACTGGCCTGAGTTGTACAATAGATGAGCCGCTTCACACGAAGCATTCACATCACAGAATGCCTGGTGGGATAGGCCAAGCATAGGAATTAAGACACTTCAACTCAAATGTATCCCCCATATGTCATTTACCCGGCCATAACATCAGTCAGAGATTGATAAACGTAAGCTATCAATCAGGATCCATTAAGAAAACAAGCAACAACCTTACGGGAATTTAATAATAATGTTAAAGAAGACGATAAGCTTAGTCTCTCAATCAACCCGATCGTGAAATAGTGGATACCTACATCAACTAAATAGCCTGAATTCATGCTTTTAAGCCAACCTCCACTATAACATGAGCACAGTGTTTTCTCAGTTTGGCCACTACTAAACTTCACCTGTTCATTTTCACAAGGAGTCTTGTCAAAACTCTTCGGAATGAAATTATCCCGTCATCTCCGTGTATCTTGGTAAGAAATAGACTTCTGCCCACCTGCACACCACGGTAACATGACGTGGGGTTCACTGTTGGTGCATTCCGTTACTCTAGCCACTCCAAAGTGTCGATGGGAGAATCGACCGCGCGGAGATATCCGTGCGCGCTGTTTCCCAATGATCAATCTCCTCCGACCCAAAGAGATACGATAGGAGCATTCAATGACTGGCATGGTCGGCGTCTGGTTGGTCCATCAGTGTACAAGTGGATTGGCCGGAAATGTCGGTTTGACCGTGTAATGCAAACTGACGCAAAAGAAGCATTTTCATCTTTTAGTCATGTGAAATGGTTGCGGTTATCGTATGTCATCGTTCACAGTGAGACGAATACGCTTGTTGCAGCCATGGGTACAGACAGTCTACTCAACATTCCTATCCGATGGATTATACTTTACCTTCACTCTGTATTTATTTCTACAACGGCTACTTCGGACCTCAGCGTGCCATTTGTGCTAGATTCGAACCCATGCCTTCTAGATCCCTCTGTCTGTTTTTTAGTGCCCTCAGCCCCAAGAAATCTGCGGTTAAATCAGCTGAGAAGAGCGCTCCCAGCTGGAGTAAAAGACCCCAAGGCAGCTTTGGCCATTTTGGAATTATCGTGGGATCCCCCCGAGCGTGTGCATGGAGAGTTGAAAGCATATCAAGTGTCCCATCGGCTAATTGGACCACCAGATGTGTTGCAGTCCAATGCCCCGGAGCCATATGAAGGTGGCTCGTTCCGGCCAATCAGACGTAACGTGACTCATGCGGCTTACACATCAACACTTGCGGATGGAATCAGTGAGTGAGGATGATAGAAATTTCGAATACATGATGTTGCATCATGTAGATACTCTTAATTAATATGTGTGCTCAGATTACGAAGCCAACTGTAAAATTACAGATCTAACTACCCAACTTTCCGCTCGTCTAAAGATGAGTTGCCGGATTCTCATCAACTTCTGCTGATGACCCCTCAGGGATTTGTTTTGGTTGATTTTCCAAAGAGAGTGGCAAATGTAGTTGGGTTTCTTAGGATCTGTCATTAATTCCGCCAATTGGTGTCCCCAACTTGAACCCAGCTCATAATCATGATTATATTAAGCAGATATCTACAAACCAGATAACTTTAAGTGAAGCTAGGTAACAAGAATAACCAACTAATGCTGTTCAAAGTGGCATTCGAAATACTTTTGCAATATCTTTTTAACTCAGTATATTTTCTCTTACCTATGAAACAAGCCTTCGACACCTAGAAATACACGTCAACCACTCGCTCATCAATATCATGACCGCCGTACTGAGGGTAAGAGACTTTCACTGAATGAAATGCTGAAACTTGATCTACATTTTACCGCAGCTTATAGGCCGGAATACACTCCTTCTTATATTACTGACTAGACATCCCAAACCTTGTGAATTATTGAGCAGAACTCGGGGTTCGGATATATACTTGTGATAGCAGATAAACACGGCGTATGTAAGTTGGTAGTTCGGCTGTACCCCAATCGAAATAATCCCGACATTCCCCGGAATATTTCCGCATATATTTCCTTGGAATCGCTCAAGCTTATCGATTAGCGAGAGTGCACGAATCGGGTTCCATGCTTAGGGCCTAGTTAACCCGATTCAGTACAAATGTCCGGAACCCAGACGACACTGTCGATTGTCAACACCACTCCCCGTTAAACCAAGGTGCTACGCACATATCAAGGGTTATTGTAGAAGTGACCTACATTTTTCACACTGTATGTCTGTAGAGTCTGGAAACATGGAGGCATTAAGATTAGGGCTCTACATGCGGAGCCGTGACATTCCGTTTCATCAAGCTGCCACGCATTTATCAACTGCTGCATTAATCCAAAATGCAGGACTGATCCATGCAGGCTTTTTTCTCTCCACATGTATCATTATCATGCGCTGAGATATGGAAAGTTTGACGACCACCCGGTGTGTCTGTTACACTGACCCTCGGTTGTACTTTGGAGAATAATGAATGTCTGAAGCGTCCACCACCCACTCGGCTTCAGTTAGTCATTCTAGACGACTTCACCTTTATTCACTTTGTTCATCCGGATATCAGAACGACATTTCTGTTGCATCGAACCACACCATCACGGGACAGTTTCCAAACTTTAAGGAGAATGAAACACGGTTAAGTCAGACAATATAGCAACCACAGTGTAATCAAGAAGGATTATTTGAACTACATATATCAGGCTCCACCAGCTCGAGGCGCGCCACACACTGCGACTAAGAACCTTAGTTCTGGGATCTATCTTGTGCCAATCTTAGAAGAATTATCTTCACTCGTCTTTCGCTGAAAGCATTTCTGCCGGAATAATCACAGAACCAGGGATCTACAATTTATGCAAATGCTCTGAACTGTGCGAAGTATGCAGTTGAAAGTAAGATAACTTAGCGGACAATGCATGTATAATGGCATACAACTTATCTACCCGAAAACTACGTTATCAAGGGCGAAAATATGATTTTCTTCAGTCAGGTCATGTAAAGGCGCTTCGAGCTAAAAACTGTTGATGTAGTAATTTTGGATGATGCATCTCCTGTCATCATATGTGAAACATGCTCAGTCGCCAACTAATAAGCTGGTAGTTAATCGGTATAAATCACTGGGTCACCATCCAAACGATGCGAGTGGCGTGAACGCACTTGTCTACCCATATCAGATATCATGTCCCGGAAATTCGCACGATCCACCGTTTGATTCAGATGCATTTGATCCCAGTGAACTATAACGCAGTTATTTCAGTAGGCTTTATAAACCACCTATTACTGTCTTGGTTGGTTTTACGACAGTTGGCTTTCGGCACATAAGCTCCTTCACAAAATCCTTTCGTATCAAAACGAAACTTAGTAGACCAACAAATATATTGAACGGTCGTTCACCAATCCTTCTGAAACGAAAAATTCCCAAGTGCTTCCAAACAAATTCAAAGACATAAGTAGTTGCTTGACTGCTGAATGATTTTCGGCACATATAACTAAATATATGCTCTTTTCAAAGGCTCAGTTGCCTCTTTGACAGCACGATCGTATATCTGCGAACTCTGTTCTTACACTTCCTGCTTTATAAAATTCTGAAATGCGCGATCTTTGTTGTCCTTTCGTTAGAAGTGTTACCAGGGCAAGGTATTCGTATCTCCTATTTGGATGAGACATAGTTAACGTACAAGGCAAGCGATGCCTAATTCTAAACAACAAAGTTCAAACATAATGAATGCGTTATTCCTTCCGGCTGTGTAGCTTTCAGCCTGTGCGCGCCTCACTGGAACTTTACGGCGCCTATCCTATTTAAACTCTTCGTTCTAAAGTGCCTGATAAAGCAGGAGGTTCGGTGTCAGACCCCGGGTGCTAATATGTCACGGTATCGTTCTGGAAGTGCTTCAATGCAGCCGTGTCCTTGTTTTCTTTTGTAATAAGGTTGAGGAAGCTGTGGTTGTTTTAGTAGACGCTAACCCGGATCGCTAGAAACAGAATACCGCGTTTAGACGGTGGGCCCCACGCACCCTTGAACCCGATACCTGGGAATTTCTCTTTCCCATCAAGGAACACTAGGAGGCATGGCGACATTTTAAAGTAGCGTTCTACTATGACTTTAAGTGCATCCTTCGGTAACGCAAACAGATCGCCGATCTTGACAGTAGATTCGCATCGTACGATTGACCAAAGGACTTATTTTCTCAAGGGATTAGTAACGAGTATAGTAGTCTCAACCATCAGCTTATCCTTTCGTTTAGTTATTTCAAAGGAAATTCATCCGCACAAATGTTGCACAGCGTGTTCGATTTGTGTCACAGGAGACATCCGGAAACTAGGTCCAACACCTCACCGTCTGGCATCTCCCAAGATGAAGCTGCTATGAGGGAAATGCCTACCCTAAAATGCACAGCATAATGGACTCGTGATTGTCCGTACTTTATCTTCCGCTTCCTTCTGAGATCAGTAAAACAAAGTGTATCTGGGAAAACCGCTGTTATGCTGCAACAATTTCGGCCGCAGTCGCGTCCGATCGGTGTAGACTTACTTGTTTCTTAGAATGAATCAAAGGAGTCAGAATCTGAGTAAAGAATTCTTTTCGGTTATTCGCATCAGACTCAAACATTATATGATGATGAGAAAGTGCTACATATGCCGGATTGGGCTGCGTATTGAACAGAATGTTTAATTTCAACAGGAACAAATCAATAAATCACGGGGCAATTGAAAGTGGCAAGTATGTACAGGGGAAATCACAGCAGAAGTTGTAGGCCCCGATAGAAGTAAAGGACGTACAAACTGTTTTGTACGCAATAGACAGAAGATGCATCCGGAATCCGCACGAGAACATTCAGGAATAGTATAGATGACTCTAAAATCATTTTCCGTCCCTGCGTGACTGCACTTGTTTCTCAAATTGGCTTGGTGATGTGGCGAGGGAAAGTAACGTAATTGCATGTAGGTATCGATCGCTTCCACTTCCTGCATTAAATAATCATTATGAATATAAGTCATGCCCCATTAAGTAGCAGGTTCGAATTCTGCTCCGAAACAATCAGGTGGGGTCGGACTCTCGTGACAGTGAAATACCTGTTGCAGAAGTATTGCTGGGTAAAAGTCGATAGCCAACTTGCATCTCCTCTGTACAGTAAGAGATTTGGTTGAATTCTTAACTAATGAAACAGTTACTTATTTATGCCATAGATGCTAGACAATTGCTGCGGAAATACACCCGTCTGGCTTACTTCCGAGTGAATCACCGTTATCTTCCTGGTATAAAGGTAATCTCAAGACAGCAGGTTGCCGAGATAAATAACCTAGGAGTTCAGTAATCTAGGCAGCGAATTGCGTATAACTTTGATCTGACAGCAAGGATGCTTCATAAATTGGGTTTTGAATATCTGCTCATGTTGTCCAGACCTTTCAGCAGCAATATTCACCAAATGGACTACCTTGGTACTTGAAATGTGTCAAATAAACCTTTGGTTTGTGCAAATATTTTTCGTTTTATTAAAACGCGCTTTGTCGTCAGTAAGACAGTGTTTCGGTAGACAGTTTATTTGATTTGGGGCCACGAGTGTATTTCTGTGTTGAATTCGTCAGTGGTATATAAGCAAACGACTTTCATACCCAACGTAGTGAAAATACTTGGGTAGCCCTAAACAGCGTTTCCAAGCAAACATTTTACATCAGATTGCAATATGGCCTAGTGTGTCTAGTTTTGACGGTTGGAAGGCACGGTTCATACCACAGCTTAAAAAAGACGATCGTGACATTTACGATGGTTCGGAAACATGATATGTAACAAACAGAGGCAACTTATAAGCTCACCGCCGAAAAACCTAAGGAATCAGGAGCTAATTTGTTGAACATCATTAAGCCATTATATTGAGGTAACTTCTCCTCCAACGATCTGTGCAGATCGGCTAATATTTCAGTCGAGATCTACGTGATTAGCCGTTCTTGCCTCATTAACTAAGTATACAGCCAGTACAAAACGTGCTTGATGCAGGCTAGCAAAACAGACAGATCGAATCTGGCAGTTTGTTCACCATAAACTTCACCGAGGAAAGGCGGCATTTTCAAAATGCCACTTAGCAATTGTGGTTAACAACATTAGGGGTCGGCGCTTAAGCCTGTGATTGGAGAACGGTGACGTAAATCGCTTTGTTCTGAATGTTTGATGTAGGCCCGATTTACTGCATCGTTTTCCAGAATTATTTAGCTTATAGTAAGAGCTGATGCGACATCTTAGAAAGAGATAATCAAAACAGCCATCTTCTAACTTAAAATATCCGCGTTGGTTTGATTACTACGTAGACGGGTAGGAGGTTAAAGGGATATTGCTAACAATTAATTGAGTATACATCTAGTGAAACTAGGAAAGGACTTAGGATTGGTAAATGATGTCGCTTCTTTTAAAACACAGATGTTGTGTTCTCTAACTTATCAATTAAAACACATATTAGCTGTTCAAAACTTTGTACCTACCCTCGACTTCGACTTTTGTGCCGCACCCATCTTGTGGAGGTAGAAGAATTTGAAGTTGTTTTGCCTGGTGATTTCCATGCCCCTACAACAATGAGTAGCAGGTTATGCTTTTCCAAGCGACTACTGACTCGTTACTAGCTCATATAAAGTCTTCAGGGCAGGAATGCATTGCGACATGCATGTTTAAATGCGAACGCGGTCTCAGCGACCGAGATGGCAGAAACTGATTAAATTAAGATGCGGTGCAGACTGAGGTTCGGTGTCACATCACATCCACTAAACCAGTGTTTTTCAACTCTCACCTATTACCCCATTCGATACAGTGGTGTAGGAGAATTGCTTTTTAAAGCCCAATTATCCTGTATAATTCGATTTCTAAGCCAAAAACATGTTGTGTACTTGGACCCCTGTGATTGTGCTGCTGGTGTCGAACTCATAACTACGTAACAGCAAAAACGTCTGCTCACCTCGAACTTTCTGACACAGTACTCCAATCAGTTAACAGCCAAATTACTTGAAGAATTTTGGCCCCATTGGTTTTAAAATGTTTTTCAACCGATTGCAACTGGAATGCAACAGTCTTGCTGCTTGACTTTGATTGGATTATCCACCCAAACGCTGAATTTGCTTTCAATGCAAATGAGGAGATCCAGCTTTCCCCTGACTGCTGTCAAAGCACGATTTTCCAACGGACCTCGTCTTGTCTTTGGTAGATCAGAGCGAGGCATCACGATATGTTCACTGCAAGAACAAATTTTCCCGCCAAGCATGCAAAATCTCAGTTAAGATTATGGCATGAGCCAGTGTAGACAAGCAATCTATTCCCTAATTATTCCCACCAGGACCGAATTTACTGGAGTAGAGACACGCTCAATTTGTCTGTCCCCGTAGCCGTTCGTTGTTTATTCTCAGCTACTGTCAAGCGGTTTTATTTGCACAACACCAGTTGGAACGTTGAGAATTTGAACGAGGCACAGTTTATCAGTGAAAGGTATTGACATAAAATTGAGCCTGATCTGAACCATGAGTTACTAGAAGGGAAAACTGTTGGACTTGTCCTGAATTTCATATGTACGCTTGACGTTGCTTGTTTAGTTTTCAACTGTTTGCATGTCAAACAGCAGACAGATGCGATAACGATGTTAAACAGTGAGCATTGCTGTGCCAAATGTAACTGTATACTAAACAAATACTGTTCAATATACTGTGATCGAACTTTTGTACTATGTAGAGGCATCGGCGTGTATCTGCGCAGCGACAGCACTCCTTGATGTCAGTGGCGTTATTGATGGACATTTCGATGCATTTTCAGCATCCTGATTCCATGTCGCAATTTGAGGCACCATTCAACCAGGTCTGATATCGTCGACTTGAAAGAGGCAAAGCTTTCTCTTTCGAAACCGTGGGTGCTAACCTAACTTCTTTAGGCAGGTGTTACTTCCCGAGGGTTAGGTCTGAGCGTACCCATCACTTTGTAACGCGTACTAAAGGTAGCCGTGCTTCGTGTTACGTCGATTTGTTGTTGATTGTTAGACACCAAATAAGTTACGGAATACGTCGCTGTCTGGTCCATAGACCTATTGTTTAGCCACACTGGAGGGTCATATTGAAGCCCTCATTGAGTGAATGGATTGCGACGCGCAATCTCAATGTGGGCCACGATTCCCATTGGCGTGAACCCTGGTCAATACAATCACTGGGACTGTAACTGATGAGGTAGATGAATACTGGATGTTGGCCGCCCCAAAACTCTGCAAACCACGACGTGTTTCGATCTTGTTTGATCTCCTAAGTAGAGATAGCAGGCATTGAACCCGGGACGGTTGAGATGTTAGTTAAGACCTCTACCCTTCTAGCCACCGGGTTATGACGGGAAAAGCCTTGTCTAACGGTTACTAACTATTTGCACTCCCAGGGAGCGATTGGAAAAAGTGCCGCGGTGGACAGCCGATGACGTGGAGAAGGAGTATGAAGGACGCAACCTCAAGTTTGGTGGCAGTAGGACCAGTCCGCCTTCCAGGTTGGGGACCACGAGATAGTGAATCGCAGTGGTTGGAAACACTAGACGTCATAGCCCGCAACAGACATCAGTGGCGTCAATGTTGTTCTGCAATTTCACCATACTTTTGATGCACAAAAAAAACAAAAAACAAATTGTCGTGTGTAAAACCAAAAAAATCGTTTCCCATATTTTTTAATCGCATTAGTATTCACAACTTCCTCACTTTTTTTCTTCTTCTGACATGGTTCTGATGGCACTATGTTTGTTAACAGACTGTGAATAAATATAATAAATATATATACTAACTGAATGGAGGGTCATCTGGAAATCCTCGATGCGTGAATAAATTGCGGTATGCGTAACACTTCATGACTCAGTAGCTAAACCAGTACAGATTCCTGTTAACATCCCTATAGTCCCGCGCTGAATATTTGCTGTCTCCACCAGGTGAGTTGGAAACGCGTCATGGAGTGCAGTGTTTTCAAATGGGCAACATCCAGTATTCATCTGCTATGTATTCTTTTTATTCAAGAGCGCTTGTTACAAGCAGTAAAGTTTAATACTTACGGACATTCCGAAAGATGTTAGTTTTACCCCTCCTGGGTGAAGTTTTTTGCAAATTAGTTAGCAGTACTGATGCCGTATCTCTTAAGACAGTTCCTCTACAACAACATTCAAACACTTAGCATCTCGATAGGGAACTATTGTCCTTCGTCATGGCTTAGTGGAACAAGCTTTGTCTCGTTATCCGACAAGGAAAATCATCCGATCACCGATGGACCAACGATTTCAACTGCACAACCAATTTGGGGCAGAAATGTGTGACTATTTGTATACTCTACGCTAGTCTAGTCAAGCAAGAGGCGGGTTGTTTAACCTGAATGCAACTCTCCATCGCTGTGTTGCTGTTCTCCCGCCAGCTGTGAAGAAATAGTTGCCAGTGGAGAATGCTCATAGGAGGTTGTATTCACTCTAGTCTGTGCACAGACAAGCTGGACCGCTGATTAAATGACAGCGCATGAACGCAATTTGGTAAACTATGTTTGTTCAGAGAAGTAACCGATACAACTTGGCCACCCCCTAGCGATAGCAATTTTGCGAAACTAACTAGAGCTTATTTTCCGTAAAGTCAGATAAGCGCTTGGGATTAAGCGCAAAAAAGCGAAGAGTGTGTTGCAAAGTCCTGTGTGTGTATGCATGTCCGTAGTGAGACATGCAAGACCCAAACTCTACCACTCACTTTATAGACTAGTAAGTTCACACGGTATAGCCTGCGGATATATTGGAGTGAGTCATATACCAGGTTTGTCGCTGCAGTGGCGATTCCCCTGGACATCAGAAATCACGAGTATCCCAATTACGAAACCTGAGCGCTTCTGTACCCGAGCAGAATCAGCTCTTACGCTGACTCCAAATGGCTGCAATATTATTCTATACATGTTTAAAATTGAAACCAAATGATACTTTTTCGAGCAAGCGAAGTTAAAGCCAGTATGATTCCGAAGATTTAAAATGAATGATGTCAGTATAAACGAAGCGTACACTCTAGCAACTAGTCGTTAATTTGCCACGACCGTTCACTATATTGTCCTTGATCTTACAATTATAGAGTTTGGCCGAGTTTATCAGTTTGAAGTGGCCGCTTTTAATGGTGTCGATCTTGGTATGCCAGCCCAATTGAACGTAACCACACCAGAAGACGGTAAGTGCTGGAATTGTGTTTTAGTGAGTTGACACTTTTCTCCATATACCCGAACAATTTTTAAATATCTTAGACTGGCCGTACAGAAGTGTTGCCAATATTTGCTGACTTTAGTAAAAGAGCATCTCGCATTAGAGTTGTGTGAAATAAGTATAATGCGCAAAATCACTAGGTGATCTAGCAAAGCACTTGGTTTTCATACAGTGTGCTCGAAAGCTTCACTCGCCAATGTGTTCTCCTTTGCAAACATATTCAAATTGCCATACGATACAGAATAAACTCTGATCCAGTTTATGCTTGGATGTGAGGAATTTTCACAAGAGATCGACCATACATCCTGGCTGGGAGTTCAAAGCATTGTGTTCGTAGGGCATAGTTTACCAAATATTTTCGCTTTCATATTTGATAAAATGGTACGCTCTTAGATCGCTGATTGCATGCCTGATAAGGGCAAGCTTGTATGGTTGGCAAAAAATAAGCACCACATGGTCAGAGCTGCCTTTTGCTGATTGTTCAACAAGTGAACAGGACTAAAGCTATAAGGAGAAACGTTCTTGCTGTTTGTAATTAGATTGGATAACTTGGAGCGAATCAGACAATAACCATTACGAGTTACGTTTATCATGAGCTAGTGACAACCTGGTACCATTGAATTTCGGTATTCCAAACTACTGCTAGTGTAAGCTGATTACTCGAACTTTTTCACTTGTCCAAGTTAAGGAACGATGTCAACCGCATGAACCGTTTATTTAGGTTGTTTATTACCGAGATGAAAAACGCAGAACGTACACAAGCCCAGGAGTCATATTATATTCTCCGGACACCATAGACAAGCAGTAGGTCGCATTGGATTAGCCAAGCACGGCGACATGCTCAATCTTATTTCGCTAAGTACACCAAGAAAATAAATAGTAAAAAAGTTTAGCGCCTAAATGTAACTACTTAACGGGGCCGACTGAGTTAACTGTTGTTCTGAAAGACACCTTCGCCTTGGCACAGTTACATCTGTACGGACGAGCTCGTCTAATCCACAAATGCACGCTTGATTCTTGGACATAATTCACAGTTTTAATGAGTCACACTCCTTAGTACTCAATTATCTTCGCACAACCAGCTGCTTTTAGCGTAAGTCGTGATTCTACGGACCAACTCCGCCTTCCGTAACGTTTGTAACTTGCATGGCAAAGGAAGATGACTCGCGCCATCTTGTAGTTAGCTTGCACTACATGACGAATTGTATGCACATGCGGCTTACTGGAATAAGCTGTTGGCATTCGACGCAAGTCACCAGCGGTCTTGAGTTCGATTCCTTGTGAACCAAGGGAGGAGCAACACCGACGAGCCTCGACAGCACAAAACGGCCGTGCTGTATTTTGCTGGATCCCTGGGTGGCTATCCGAATCGGAAGTTACCGCGATAAGTTTGCAAAAGAAACATGGTGCCAAAATATGGTACGAGATGCTTAAGGGGGCTGAGCGGGATGATTCGATAAGCAGTAAAGAAACAACAGTTTATTAATAGTTAAGAAAAATATTCATTTTCTCGAAACAACTCCCAGCGGCTATTGCAGATTATCCGTTCCCGATAAGCCAGACATTGGCTAGCAATTTAAGCGGTTGCTAAACCATTGACGGATTGGGAGCCTGTCACAATTCTCAATGCTTAAATACAATCCACTCTAGACACATGCTTCCTTCCAGCTCTACGAACGATTCTTTAATACACTTACTTTTGGTTACGACAATACCATGGAAACATAATTGCTAACAACGACGTGATAATTTTCCCTCTGTGTTTGGCTATGACCCTCGTTGCTCGAATTCCACTGGGGCTGCTTTTTCGCCACTGATTGCGGAATGGGGCGGGCACGTTTGGTGACACATGACAGGATGTGTTGTCTAGCGTTGCTACCTCTCGAGATTAAATCCACAAGTCTGACAAACTGTTTGAAGTTTGTATTTGCCATTCTAACAGGGACACTTGTTTATCACACATCACAACTACTTTGATGTGTGTTGGAATTTGGAATTTAGCGTAACCCGCCTAAAAGAAATATGTCGTCCAAATCTAAGCTATCCACATAGAGTTGACGAAGTTCACACCTAAGGCGAGCTTTTCAGCTGGAAGAAAACAACTGCTTGAGGAGATTTTTCATGGACCGTATGAGTTTTGGTAATGTTAGGTTGATCATCTTAGTTCCCAATAAAATGCTGCTTCATTGCTCTTCAGTGGTTGGAAGCATGCCAGCGTGTTAATTCGACAATAATGTTTAAATCTGCATTTAGTTGGCAACTTGGGTAAACGAATGTATTCTAACGAATGTAGCTACAACACTGCGTTGATCATAAGTAAGGCAGAACACCGTCACATCTAAAAGCACCATTATTATATGGCTTCAGATCAAATCGTATTCTAATTTCTACCTAGATTTAACCAATGCACCTAAATTTTCGACTGGCTACTTCCATAACATACAGAGTTGGTCAACTGTAGTTTACCTTATAGGTGACATGTTACTGTGTTGTCCGTTATATTGAAATCTATCTAGTTCGTTGGTAAGTAGCCAGCCATGTTATTGAAAGCAAGTGCACGTCATTCGATTTTTGCTGGTGCTTCCTGATACTTCATCATAGTCACGAATACCTGGACCCAGTAGTGTTCATAAAGAGCCGAGTGTTTTTGATGCACTTAACATTACGCGGTAGATCAGGGAATTTCACCTTTTTATCGCATCGCTCCTTGGCTCGGTGACAAGAGTTATGTTAGCTATACGGAAAACGCAAGTTAGTCGTAAAATATGAAACCGGAAATGTGTTAGGAATATCGCTCAGACAAACTTCGTACGCTTAAAAATTCTATGGCACATTACAATGTGTTAGCACGGAAATTTGAGTGTGAAAATAGCTTGCCTCTGTTCATGTAAACTGAGAATACTTTTCCAGGTCTATGCTAAAGTTAGTCGCGATTTTTGAACGATAACTGTTGCATCGAGAGGGCATTAGTGAACTATGCTTACTAGTTATGTTCTTGGCGAGATAAATTTGCAACCAAAAACTTCACTGTTACCGAATGCACGTGACGCAGTGCTCCATGTTAATTATGGGTCATGGTATCATCATGTCAATGATTTTGGAGGGAAACGAATCCACGGGAAACTGGAAGTCATTTTTAGAGCACCAGTGTAGAACGTGAAACTGCACCCATCACGTCTGTCGGCCAAAGCAATTAGTGTTTACCCGCTACAGATACGGATAAACCTTCAGTGTGCTGAGGTAGCTAGTCAGCATTAGTGGCGTCAAATGCAAAGTTAAGCTACTTTTCTCTAAGGACTTACATCCTCGGGTTTTCCATCACCCTAACTGATTTGAAAGTGGAGTTATCTCTACTGTATATTTTGTTGACCAAATTCGAACCTGCGGTTTGATGCGCTCTGATTGAGGGACAGACTAGAACCCAAAAGTGTCATAGCAAAGTATTGTTTACGTAACAGCAACCCATCCTCCCGTCAGGTTTAATTAACAACTTATTGCCCACGTTAGGCCTCAACTGAAAGCACGAATCTGGGGCCTTACTGCACCTAAATGGGAAGCATGTAGAATATCAGATACAGCTATGTGCAGTACACATATTTTCAAGTATGGCACTGTTAGGCGTTTTCCTTTTGGTACCTCGACGTTTGGCGGTGTCAGATGGTCTTTTACCGGTACTTCGAACCTCTTGATTCAAAATCAACCCAATGAGCTCCTCTACATTGAGAAGATGCAGAATCTACGGACTCACTGCAGCCTCGTCGGTCTTGATTTCACTAAAGGGGCAAGACCACCAGTTGCAGCTCTGTCGCCACACTGAAGCACCTATCAGTAGTGACGGAGTTCACAAGACTGGTTTCGCGATCAGCGCTTGAAATATGTGGTTCGGTGAAGCCACGGACAACAGGAGTAGAGTCAGGAGCAAAAGAAAGAGGGCCAATGAATAGTCGTTTGAAGTACGCCTTGTCGAATTGGATTACGACAATCAATCTCACTGTCAACCGCGATATACATTGAAGTGAACCTTGGCCAAGGCGATCACTGGGACCGTGGCAAAAGCAGATGGAATTTAGGTGTTGCCCACTCGAAAACACCGTCCAACCGCGACGCATTTCGACCACATCTGATCTCATCAGATGGAGATAGAAGGCCTCCAATCAGCGACCATGAGAATAGTAGCCGAAGCCTCTACCTTTTTGGCTACCAGGTCACGATGAACAACGCTTCGCACAACGGTTAATGACGGCTTGGAGGGCCATTTTGCAACACATGTATGATTGGATTGCGACGCAACATCGTAATGTAAACCTCAACTGATATTGAAGGGAACCTTAGTCAATGTAATCAACGAGACTGAGGCCGAAATAAAAGTAGAAAGTGCAAAGCGTGTTTTTTTTACAGCGTTTCGTGTGTAGAAGTAGGTGGTCCTTTTATTGAAACCGATGTTCTCATTGAACCTGCAGTTCTTTTAGTCGTGCTCCTTGCTGGGTGTGTATAGTCCTGGTTACAAAATGCATGCAATTATCAGCTTTCGTCTTCTAACATAGCTTTTCAAATATATCTGACGCCAAAGTTTTGTTTACCGATGCCGTTGTTCTCATAGTTACTTTCTCTCCGTCGTACAAAATAAAGAAAAGTTTACCGGTAGTAAAGGCGATACAGTTTACTTGCATGTTATAGACCCAGCTTTTGTTCCACGTACGTAGCATACAGTCTAAGGCTAACCAGTGTTCCCTGCGCATTCGTTCTTTCCTCAAGCCGGTCCCGGAACCTATCAGGTCCAAGTCCACTTGAATGGCATATCTGCAACTTCGTTTGAAGTTGTGTGGACACCGCCATCGCAGCAACATTGGGACGGAACTGTGATCCACTATCAGGTGCGGAAACATTTACCAATTGATCTCGCGATACCTTTTTTTGCCGATTATCCCAAATTAGCCTTGGGTTCACAGTGTTCTCCCAAAGGGGATAACCTAATAACGACAGAGAATCGCGTGCTCGTTCTTTCAAGGTTTTATGAGTTTTGAGAAATCCAAAAAGTAGATCGCACTTCATGTCACCCTATACAAGACCCTAGCTAACGTGACTTCGTTTGCGACCAACGCCAACAAGCTGAACTAACGCTGGATACAGAATAGAGAAATTAGGTGGCATATGGTCAAACCAAAATTGATGTCTATAGTATAGCAGTATGGTATATTATGTCTATAGTATTTATATGTCTATGGTATAGAAACAGGTAAGCATAGTTTTACCATGGTGTTGCTTAACAAGACCTATCGCTCAATGATCGATACTGCATCAAAGTATGCTGTAAAATTAGAAGTTGACTGAAATTTTCACAGCAGACTACACGGGAAACGGTTAGCAACTGCTCAACTCGATGTGATGCATTTCTCATCACTAGTCAGGGAGACACAGTCAGAGTCCGTCTGTTGAAATGAAAGCAGAGAGCCGAGCGAGACACAGAAATATATTCAACTGACGCTCCGTCACTGCGTCGTGAATGACAACTGACAATTTAATAGTCTTGCATGTATGAATGTAGGCGTACAAAGTGAAACTCCTGTGTTAACGAACTTTCAAACGAGGCTCCCTCTCTTTCTATGTTTCAGGTGCGCTACTACCAACCAAACGCTCCCAATGAAACCGAAGTGGTAAGAAATACCAGCGAACCGAGGCTGATTATCAAGGATCTAAGGGAGAGAACCTTCTATACTGTCATGGTCAGAGCAATCACCAAAAATGGACCAGGACCGTGGTCCATGCCCAGCATGATACAGACTACAGCAGAGTGTAAGCACAAACTTCAGTTTGGTGAACGAATTTGCATTTTGGTTGAAAGAACTATTATGTGTTTGGATAGTATATTACCCATGTCTTACTTCCACTGATCTTAACTGGGTTAGCCCAATCATTTTCACCAATTGTTGTTCCGCATCTTCCAAATATAATGGTTATTCCGCATCTTGGATGAAAAAGTCACATTCGGATTAACTACGAATAATACGAACCAGTAAGTAATGATGAAACTGTTTACTGCTCTCAGAAAAAATGGAACACCCTGTTAGTCGAATATTCTTCCAACGCTTAAATTCCAATGTTTCCATCCACCGCGAGGGTGATAGAAGATGGTGGGTAGATTCGACACCAAAGCAGCAGACAACAATTCAGGGTTCCACAAATCTCCGCTAACCAAGTTCCTCTAACAAAAAATGTATGTTTGTTGGTAAGATTGCGTGCTCTTGAATGTATACGAATGGAGTCTGTGACCACTGGCTCTACTATAATCGAGACATCTAAATGTCATTCGAGATTGGATGCTAAGCAGGAGTTGTCGAACCACGTCAATCAAATTGCACAACTGGACAGTTGTCAGATAAGAATCATTCATCGGACATCTTTCATTGTGGTATCAAAAGCTGGTTGGGTACATCTTGGCCTCAGACAAGCGCTGATATGTGAAGGAGATATTAACTTCCCGTAGTATGAAATTAGCGAAAACTCTAAACCACTACTGTTGCATTACAGCATTCATCTACTTCGAAAAATGCGATCCTTTGTACGGTGAATAACATTTACAAAGAGCAATCGGATTAGCTACTAAATTCGTTTGTTTTAAGGCTAATGAGAAAGTCCGCGTATCCTGCGTACAGACACTTCCCTGGCAATTGTTGTCACTGCCTCTGGTAGTGAAGTGGATCGCACATATTTACCCTCTACCAGTTCCCCCCATATAATATGGGTCTGTAATGATAAACGGCGCTTGTCAATTTTGGAAAGTATGCATTTGGACGTTTTGAGAAAGTCATCAATGTTAATTGGTAATTAGTTGCGATTAATTGTGGTTATGTTTAACTGCTTATCGATGTCAATGCACAATCATCAAGAAAAGCTTAGTAATTTGTCTTATGTGTTCTTAATGTGCTTATATTTGGTCTCGCACCACAGCGTGAACAGGCACTTTTGCACCCCCCTCGAGAAAGGTATTTACCTGAATTGATTTTGCGATGAAGTTGCTTGTCTTATGAGAGTTTACTTCCAAGATGGACTGCGGTAAATTTATGGAAAGTTTAAAGGGGTCTAAAAAGTATCTAAAGGAACGATATTTTATTTCTTCTCCTGACGTTAGCGCCACAAAAACATTTGTTATCCGAGCAATACAAGTAATGAAATGGGCCACAAGAGCTTCTTTATACAGATGATGATGAAACTTCGACGGTACATGTTTGTACATTTGACTGAATTACTTAAGAAGCCCGCTCCCGAGGACACTGCAAATAGAATGCCTGTGGTCCTGACGCCCTCAATAAACTATTGCTGATGTCAGTTTGAGTTGAACAATGAATAATGACTATACAGGTGAAGAAAGCATTGCTTTACAAGTCTCACTGGGTCATCTAGGTGGGTTATCGAAATATGACAAGAAAAAAGCCTTTAGTTTTACCACCAAAATAAGGCCTTTTCGTTGGTAATGTGGTAGTCCTGAATTCTGCGTAGTTGCAAAGCACAAGTAGGTGACATCCGTTATTTCCCAAGAGTATAACGGAGAGATAGTGAAAACTGTAAGTGGACGACTGCGGCATCCACCCGCCTTTTATGTGTGGTTAGTATCGAGGCAGAACCGACCGGTTCAGGGAGATCATTCCACGGGTAACATAGACAAATAGAAAAGGAATTACTTCGGCACTCCAGAGAGCTGTACTGTTTTGTTATTTTTAAGGTATTGGGTTCGTGTTACTGATGAGTTCCCTTGGGTAGTTAGAAAGGTAGCCTCCAGGTGCCTTTCGCCTGTTCATAACAGCAATATGCCGTGGGACAAAAATACACAATTAACCGGGTAATCATTTAGATCTAACAAGCTATAGGTCAACATTGCGTAATACATGACCCTCGCAAATGGTAAACCTGTATGAAACCAAAGGTGCACCGATTTTATTAAATGCGCCTATTAATATTGCGGTAGCCGAAGTGGTTCCCTCTACCAGTAGCTTGTATACGTCAGTATCATGTGAGTTATTCTACTATGCCACCAATAGCTGGTACACCGGACACATCCGGGTTATTTGAGGCTAGATGAATAAACCTGCTATTGAACTACCCAACTGAACTTGTCTGGTGCACAGTCTCCACATAAGCGAGACAAAATTTCACATTTTACGTAGTGTCCACCAAGTTGTAATTGGCGTTCAAAATCTTCGGGACAGCAGCTTCTGCGAAGGGTGACATCTTCAACAAGGAAACCAGCTAGATCACTTTTTCTTGGTAAAGTTGACAGTAAAATGTCGTTGCGTGTCCATTATGGGGTCATAGTGCAGAATTAGAACCTGTAAGGTGCGTCTTTCTAGGTTCGTCTTCTTGAAACGTCAAACCTGGCTGCAACATGTGGAAGGTGAAGCCAGAGAAATATGCCCTTATTTGTGTCAGTCAGTGATGGTGGTCTATTTGATTTCAGACGTGCCGTACCATACGTACGCGTACAAGGACACATACTACAAAAACGTCATTTGTTGATTTCAGTGCCGGAACCGCCAGCGCAAATTATGGGGGTGCGCATAAATCAGCGACAAATTAAAGTCACTTGGGACACACATTTGGGAGTTCGAAAAAGTAAGCAGCGCATTCCAATTACCGGATTCCGCATACTTTACTCGAAAAATGTAAACGAGCCCGATCTAAGTAGCTGGAAAATCTTGGATGTCGGTCCGGTTACTATGGCAACGCTAGACGATTTAGAACCTGGTGCGGAATATTTAATCAAGATAAGATCCCGCGGAGCTGATCGACGCTACGGCCGTCCCAGTGATCCAATACTAGTTGACGCTCGAGTTTCAGATGGATCCGGAGAATTCGATGAGGCGGGCGACAAACTTGCGGTCAGCCACCTGTCGTGTCACTGGATTCCCGCCTTGGACCCAACCAGAGAGGATGAGGCAAGCTTGAAGTTATCCTGGAGGAGACCATCTCAAACGGAAGGATTAACACATTTCCAGGTATGTACTCGTTTTCACACATATTCTCTGCACCTTTTATTAGTTTATGATGGATTACAAGAATGACTACTTGCTTGGAAGAACAGTCCCGATCTACCCTGTGTGTTAGGAAAATCTCTACTTGATATTCATTTTGTGAATGTCTTGGTTGCCACTTTTTCTTCTTCCTATCGTCTACATATTGACAGTCGTTTAAATGCTTCATCTTGTTGATTCGATTGGCAAGCGCACGTTATTAATGTACGTTCACCTTGCGTGTCAGTTTCAGTAGCATCATTTCCAAGAACAAATTGGACTGGTTTTGTTCCCATAAATGTTTATTTTTTATGTTAAGGGAATGTTCATTTGACATACACTTTTTCTAGTAGTTCTTAATCTCCGGGTTTGCATTCCTTCATATCGTCTGTTTCGTGACCCTTGTTTTAAAACGTTTTTCGTTATTGTGATTGGCCAGAACCCATCGTTGTGAATGGACGTTCACTTTGCGGTTTGGGCCCCCTTAATGTCATTTCCAAGGACATAACTGATTTGTTCTTCATTCCATAGCTGCTCATTTGCTTGTTGCGTTTAGCGTTTGCCGTTTGTTCGCTAGGTTTGGATGTATTTTACTAGTTTCCCTTCCAAACAGGCATCGTGAGCGAAGTCGTCGCATAAGACACAACAATGTATTCGGGGAGTTTTGACATTCCTCTACTTAATGGATTTACTACCCACGAGCTTGGTGCAGATTATTGTATTTACATCCATTCAATTCAGCTTTCTCAGCGCTGTCCAGTGGATCTACGATTATAGGATTGTCTTTAAGCTTTCCCTTTGCATTCTTTATCGCAATTATAGCAGGCTTGTTGCCGGCAACCCACGCGTACATGCACCTTAGTTTCGACCGCGGATCATGTTTCTCACCTTTATCCGATAGAGTGCACTTAGTGCTATCCAATGATTTCTAATTACAAGAATCCGACAATCCATCTACTAGTTGCAGCTCATTTGGCACCCAGTATCCTAACAACTGCCAAACTAGCGCGAACTCAGCCTGGATCCAAAAGCTTATCAACTCTTCCGAGACGAACTCCGGCCCCACAGATAGCCAAGTACCCATTGCCTACAACAGGAAGTTCATGCGCTGACCTCAGTCGGAGTTTTTGGCACCTGCGGTCCCACCCGCAATATAATGTCAACTGAGCTCGTGAACCTGTCCCTGAAAGCGCGGTGCGCCAAACGCTGGCTGTTAACCAAACGGTGAGCGTATTCACGTGCCTAACTGACATCAAGCGTCAGCATGGTAAGCAGCAATGAATTACGGAAGCTAATTGGAGGGTCAAGTTTGGACTTACACGTTGTGTGATTGGATTGCGACGCGCAATCTCAGTATGGTGGACTGTGGTTCACATTGAAGTGCAGTGTTTTCTGGTTGGCAACACCCAATTTCTATCTACGGAAGCTAATGTCTACACGGCCAACAGGACTGCAGATAAAGACTATTTGCGATTCGAGGATGTACACTATGAGTAACATGTTGTAAGAGCAGTAAGCAAATGCATTCCAAATGCATGCAGCTATCGACAGTTGAGGTGAAAGGATGGCACAGTACATCAGACTAGATCTGATTATGTACAGGTTGTATATTAAGCCCACTCGTAAGGTGTATCGTTGTGCTGGTGCAGGAAGACAGCAAACTCTCGGCGATTTTGAGCGTGGGACGGCTGGGAGGGCGGCCACATAGGAATCAGCTAAGGCAGAACTCGGGTTCCAATGCTTAAACTCAGGCTTTGCTTTAGACCTGAGCAACCAAACCAAGCGGGTAGTCACTAACATAAAACCAGAGAACCCAGCCACAAGAACTAGCAAATGGCCGACAGGCAGGGTCTGCAGCCTCAATCTAATAGTAACTAGCGTGGTTTATCTCCGGTGACGTATCTGTGGCACATAATACACCAGAGTTTATTCACAGATGTCAAAGCTTTGAAAACAAACATGTCCGCTGTCGCTGCGTGCAGAACAAAGGCAACGTTCTGGTCACGTCTGTAAGTAACCTAAACAGTCTTAAAAATAACACATGTATACATATGCAGTAAGAAAGCTGATCACTGCCTCACCAGAGAAATAATGTACATCTTTATGCGGAATTATAAACACCACAGTGAAGCATAGCTCGTTGGAGATAATACGTCCTAATACGTTATTGAAACAAAGGTAACTCTGTCAAAGACAAACTATTGAATGACATGAAGCAATGGGATTCCAGATACGAACAATGAAAATTCGGATCACATATGACAGTTTTGTTCACCCTGTCCACCAGTAAAACTCGATTCATTATAGATAACCACTGCTACCTCGGGTGACATAACTGTTTGGTGACAAAATGGTGACCGTTTTCTTGTCAGTGCACCACCTTCCTGCTCCGATCTGCTTCACACAATAATCAAGACCCAGCTAAATAACACCAGTAAAAAGATCAAGCTTTGTCCATGGTGTTCTCCGAACTTATTCTCTGCCCAAAACACAAGTTAGAAACGGTGGTTGGAAGCTGACATAAGTTACGCGCCAAACTACCATCAGAAGTACGTCTGAAGGTAGTAGAAGCTAGGCCACTAGTTGTTAAGCAAACATGAAATCAGCAAGCTTTTGTTGTGGGTCCAGCTGTCTGCACTTCTAAAATGGAACGCAATGCAGTTCTCCAAACGTCTGAAGCAGAAACATGCAATCTGGCACTCGCTGCGACTGGAAGATTAAGTAGTGAGTTTTCTGTGAACCATTCGGACGCAGCCGCGCGAGTAGATAGGAAATTCTTCCAGAAAACATTATCAGCCGAGTCCAAAAAGGTCGGCTTAAATTCGTGAGGAAGCTTGTGTGCTCAGCTAGGATGTTGATATCAGTAGCTCTCAAATCTTTGTAGACTAAACACAAGACCTTCTCAGCAAATTGGCAGAGCTTCGAAATCGTCAAACCTCAATGTCTGGCAGCGCCACCGTAATAAAGGAGACTCGACTGAATGACGTGAACGCCGACGATGAGACCACACTAACATGCATGTTATTCCCGTAAAAAGACAGGCCCAATAAGGGAGACGATGTAATTGTTTCCTACCCCTATGATCTACACGCTGAGAACGTTACCGACCCAGCGTTCCAAGCTGTGAACTTTTATGGTGCCGAATACACCTAAGACAGTGTAATACATGTTTCTTGACCGTTGTATACCGTCCATCAAAATCCAATTAGCGATGGACCAGCTACCAAGTTTAGCTATGAAGAACATACTAGCGTGTTCCTACAGCCACGTTCTTCGAGTAGTGGTCTGCCAACTGCAAGTCCTAAAAGGTTCCATGACTCTCAGTGAACAAATCAAAGTGCAGCTGCATGGATTAAGCACCGGTTTACCACTGTGCAACCATGTCAATACTCCAATGCTTTTCAAAATAAGAAATAAACCGGTCGCTTTAGACCTGATGCTCGAGGTACAAACAAAGGACACTTATTTGGGCCCAGCGAACATGCGATACCACCGTTCTGCCCTACGTGCCGCGCAAAATATCTTAAAGAAAGCAGCCAAGAACTGCACGTAGTAACCGGTTGTGATAATCTGTCTGACCTTGAAGTGCTCGTCCCTCGCCTGAATGGACGCCTGATTCCCAATCAAAACCCGAAGTCGCTGGACCCCCACAGGACAGAGAAAAGACCGGATCGGACGAGCATTGCGGCAGGGATGTATTAGCGAATCACACCGTTCATTATTAAAGTGAAATGGAACGTTTGTGAATGATATTTAAAGCGCACGTGGAAAGGTCTGGAAAAGTCAACTAACAACAAATCAATCAACGCCGACCTCGCGTTAATTGGCTGCTTCTCCCGGTTGGCTCTCTGTTCGCCCCAATCAGGGTGGGTGAGTTTGGATCGTCTGCCGCGGTAATGGTGTCCTGGCTTGTTCACATCGAGTATTCCTTCCTAACAGACCTTGGAGATCTATACAATACACAGGAATCACTAGATTAAACCCGTCCATGGGGCTAATGTAAATTGCCAGCGGCACCTTGTGTTAAGCTCTTGCTCTAACCCAAACCTACTTCACAGGGACGTGAACTAACTTTCTAGTGTCAGGTGAGAAGTTACTGATGCACCCACCGTATGTGGGATAGCGCAAACCATAAAACATGTGACTAACATTCTTGGAAAACAATTCAGCTGTACGGTTCAAAATACACAGTCACTTAAAATCCTTCGGAAGCAGTTCCTGCGCCCATCAGGGCTTAGCCACGTATCCTTTACTTCCACGGATGTACTGAATTGGCAGACGTCCTTGCGCGAGGACAGCTCCTATGGTGCAGACGACTCTCGTTCAAAAGCGTCGAAAGTGGCTGCCATTGAGTCTAACTGAACCATTAGCTAGTTCTTTTCAGCGATGTCTTAATGAGATGCGGTTTTTCAAGATGTACAAGCAAGTGGTTGTTATTCTAATCTACTAGAGTAACAGCGGTGTACAACAGGCGAATTATCGGCCGGTAACATTACTTCCGGTGATCTCCAATGTCCTAAAGTTCATTGTCGCTGAAGCACTCATAGGGAACCTGGAGCACAGCAAAATTTCCCTTGCGGAACAGCACGGATTTTGCCAACATTGGTCATACTTCACGACACTACTGATAGCCTGTGCTTGTTGGACAGATCTGTCCATGTCAGATTAGGAGTAGATGCAGTTTAGGTAAATTTGTTAAAAGCATTTGACTGTCTGATTCATCGCACTCTACTTCGCAAGCTTCAGAATTTTCGAATCAGCGATCCTGTCCTGAGTTAGACAATAATGCACCTCGTTCAACGTCAGCTGACGGTCAGTGCTCATAATACCCTATCCGACTCAATCAAAGCCAAATACGGCGTCTCTTAAGGTTCGGCACTCGGGCGATATCTGTTCCTGGCTATCATAAACGATCTCGCGATAGTGCTGTCTAAAATTTATATTTTTCATCGATGAGCCAAAGATATGTTATGCTGTCAGTGCAA